TACTCAGAAATACTAAAAAGAAATAGCATGATATACACATACATATAATCATATATATACATATACACACACTATATGAAAACAAAAATATTTTCTATGCACCCATATATGTGAAATTTCTGACATTCTACATTACTTTGAATAGATCCGAATTTCCATCTAGTATTATTTTCCTTTTGCCTAAAGAATTTCCTTTAAAATTTCTTGTAGTGCAGGTCAGTTGATATATTCTCTATTAGTTTTTTAAAAAGTCTGTTTTCTTGCTGGATTGGTGGCTCACACCTATAATCCCAGCACTTTGGAAGGGCAAGGTAGGTGGATTGCCTAAGCTCAGGAGTTTGAGACCAGCCCGAGCAAGAGTGAGACCCTGTCTTGAAAAACCCCAGCTACTTGGGAGGCTGAGAAAAGAGGATCACTTGAGCCCAAAAATTTGAGGTTGCTTTGAGCTTTAACACTACAGCACTCTACTAAGGGCAACGAAGTGAAACTGTCTCAAAAAGAAAAAAAAAATCTAATGCAAACACGGCTTATCACACCTATTAAAAAAATAAAAATAAAAGTCACTAATTAACAATTGTTAATTCTGTTCACTCAACTTTTCAATTTAATGTCTTTTCATTCATGCAAGTTTACTTCATTTCATCTACAAGTTTAACTTGGGTCTTTTATTTGTTCCATTTCTCTCGTGTACATGTTTTCCTTTATACTGTGGAACATGGCCTGTGGTGACACTAGCTCTGTTTGGGTTGTCTCCATCACTGCCCTTTGACCTGGAAAATGCCCCCAGGCAGCAGGCTGGGACAATGTAGGGCTCACTTCACTTCTCTTGAGAACGATAATCCTGAGATGTTGAAAAATCTCTGGACACAATTCATTTCTTTTTAATTTTTGAGTTGTTTACAGCAAAACATCAGTTCCTGTTAATGCTTCATGGGGAGAAACACATTACTTCTGCATACTTTTATGTTGTGGAATGAACTGTTTTCCGGGCACTTTGCTATCACCTTGGGTAGAGTGCTGTAGTGTCACAGCTCACAGCAACCTCAAACTCTGGGGCTTAAGTGATTTCCTTGCCTCAGTCTCCCAAGTAGCTGGGACTACAGGCACCTGCCACAACGCTTGGCTACTTTTTTGTTGCAGTTGTCATTGTTGCTTTAGCAGGCCCAGGCTGGGTTCCAACCCACTAGCCTGGGTATATGTGGCCAGCGCCCTACCCACTGAGCTATGGGTGCTGCCCAGGCACATTTTCAAATGCAGATTTAATTTAAAAAAAAAATTATTTTTTTAGTCACCCTCAGTAGAGTGCTATGGCATCACAGCTCACAGGAACCTCCAGCTCTTGGGCTTAGGTGATTCTCTTGCCT